TATATATATTATGTTGGGCTGTCTTTCTTGTGTGGAAGTCTTGGTTTTGTGAACTCTGGGATTTTTCTGGTGCTTTCTTTTCTTTGCCAATTTTCTTATGAACTATATTGTTTTTTGGTTATATGCTAAAGAAAATGCCATCTTTTAAGAGTTTTGAACACAAAAACTAGATTTTATTTTGGATTTTCCTCTCATGAAACTCTGATTTTTGATGTGAAGGCTTCAAGATAATCGGTTTGACTTTGAGCTGGTTTGTCATAGTTATCTTGTGACTAACCATGTTTTTACCAATTTGTACTCTCATCATGCCCCTGTGTTGACTTTGTTGATTGCTTGTTAGGTTTTGGCTTCTGAAGATGATCAAGATGCTCTGTCAACAGACCCCGATGAACTTATTGATTCAGATGATAGTGATGGTCTGAGTGGAGATGAAGAAGACATCTTCAGAAATCTCCTGTCCAGGGCTGGGTTTCACCTAACTTACGGAGACAGTTCTTCTCAACCTCAGGTTACTCTTCGAGAGAAACTCCTCATGGATGCCGGTGCTATAGCTGGTTTCCTTACCGGTCTCCGTGTTTATCTCGATGACCCAGCTAAAGTGAAACGTTTGCTGCTCCCGACAAAGTTATCTGGCAGTAGTGATGGTGCGAAAACTAACAAAAATGACGAGTCTTCACCCAGCTTGATGAATTTGTTAATGGGGGTCAAAGTTTTGCAACAAGCAATCATTGATTTACTTCTAGATATAATGGTCGAGTGTTGCCAACCCTCAGAAGGGGGCTCGAATGATGGCTCCAAACCTTCCCTGGATGGCAGTGGAGCTATTAGTCCGCTGGAATCTGATGCAGACAGCGGAGTAACTGAACCCTCAAACCTCTCTGCGGGTGAGAGATTTGACCTTGATGCGGGCAATAGTGTATGTACTTCAGCTGTACAAAGCTCCGATGCAAATGGAGCTACCATGCATGTAAAAACTGTTCCCAGTCAGCCTACTTCTCCCCCAGAGACATCTGCTGCTGGTTCATCCGAAAACCCTTCTCTTCGGTCTAAGGTATGGGTTGACATATTTTCTGAGGTATTAACTGTCCGGCTCGCTTATTCTATGTATTGATTTTGATAAATTTTTGTTTAGACCAAGTGGCCAGAGCAGTCGGAGGAGCTTCTTGGTTTGATCGTGAACTCCTTGAGAGCTCTTGATGGTGCTGTCCCGCAAGGTTGCCCCGAACCAAGAAGGCGGCCACAGTCTGCTCAGAAGATTGCGCTCGTATTGGATAAAGCTCCGAAGCATCTGCAATCAGACCTAGTCGCATTAGTTCCAAAGCTAGTCGAGCATTCAGAACATTCGCTTGCTGCTCGTGCACTTATGGATCGGCTCCAGAAGCCAGATGCAGAGCCTGCTTTGCGCCTGCCGGTAATGATAATGTGCTGCTCTGTTTGATTGGATGTCAAGGTATTGAGTTTTTCTCCGGGTATAGCTCATCTGTTACAAACCTTTATTTGGCAGGTTTTTGGAGCACTAAGTCAGTTGGAGTGTAGCACTGAAGTATGGGGAGATGTTCTCTTTCAATCTTTTGAGCTTTTGTCTGATTGTAATGATGAACCTCTTGCAGCCACGGTGGACTTTATATTTAAAGCTGCTCTACACTGTCAACATCTTCCCGAAGCTGTAAGTTCAAATGATAAATTAGTTCTCGCCCTTCCCTTCTGCTTGTCTACTTTGATCGTGCTATTAAATTTCTATCTGCATACCTGCTGCAGGTGAGGTCTGTACGGGTGAGGCTAAAATATTTAGGCACGGAAGTCTCTCCTTGTGTTTTAGATTATCTGTGCCGGACTGTAACCAGCTGTGCAGATATAGCTGAATCTATTCTTCAGGATATCGAATATGACGATGATTATGGAGATAACATCTCACCAACCCACTCTGGACTTTTTGTATTTGGTGAAAGTGGTTTAAGATATCAACCAGGGGAGGATGATACTGTACAGTCCCATTTTTCGGATATATACGTCTTGATCGAGATTTTATCCATACCTTCTCTTGCTGTGGAAGCTGCCCAAGTTTTCGAGAAAGCTGTAACCCGTGGGGACTTTTCCCCACAGGCCGTGGCTGTGGCTCTGGAAAGACGCCGTGCGAGAGGAATCGATTTTACCACACAGTATGCTGCTGAGAATTATCAGCAGCCGGACATCATTACTGAAGGCGAAACAATTGAACAAGTGAGTGCACAAATTGATGACTTCACTTCACTTCTTAGTCTTGCCGAGACATTGGCACTTTCCACGGACTCACGGGTGCAGGGGTTTGTAAAGATTCTCTACACCATATTGTTCAAACAGTACAAGGACGAGCCTCGTAGACTAAGGATGCTGAAGAGGCTCATTGACCGTGTCACGGCCGCTTCTGATTCCAGCCGTTACCTTGATTTAGATGTGGAGATTTTGGCAGTCTTGATGTGTGAGGACTTGGGGATGGTCAGACCCGTTCTCAACATGATGCATGAGGTTGCGGAGCTTGCAAATGTCGACCGAGCTGCTCTCTGGCATCAGCTATGTGCCAGTGAGGATGATCTTCTGCGCCTTCGTGAAGAAAGAACAGCTGAAGTAGCTGTTATGTCCAAAGAAAAAGCCGCCCTGTCTCAAAGGCTGACTGAATCCGAGAGTAGTAATAGCCGTCTCAAGGTAATTGTTTTTTCCCCACTTTTACAGTTACTGTTTTGTTTTCAAGGAAATTGTTTAGACTGTTGATGATGTGGATATGAAATGGCAGTCTGAAATGAGGGCTGAGACAGACCGGTTTGCTCGGGAAAGAAAAGAGCTGATGGAGCAGATACAGGAAATTGAGTCTCAACTTGAGTGGGTCCGCTCTGAAAGAGATGATGAGATCACAAAGCTTTTGGGTGAGAAGAAGGTTCTTCAAGATCGTCTTTATGATGCAGAATCACAGCTCTCCCAATTGAAATCACGGAAACGTGATGAATTGAAGGTCTGATATTTTATAACTAGCCAGTTTGTCTTTAATTTATTTATATTTTTGTTTAAATGAGTAGTATGTATAAATTAGTTTATGCTAGACTCCGAATCCCAGTTTCGTAAAGTTAAAAGCATCAACTAACTATTATATACCATTTATGAAAATTACTTGTGAATAATTTCAGAGAGTAATGAAGGAGAAAAATGCTCTAGCTGAGAGGTTAAAGAGTGCCGAAGCAGCTCGAAGGCGTTTCGATGAAGAGCTGAAGAGATTTGCCACGGAGAACGTAACTCGGGAGGAAATACGACAGTCGCTCGAAGACGAAGTCCGTCGGCTCACACAAACGGTTGGCCAAACGGAAGGTGAAAAACGTGAGAAGGAGGAACAGGTTGCTCGGTGTGAGGCTTACATTGACGGCATGGAGTCAAAATTGCAGGCCTGCGAGGTTTTTCTGCCACCCTCTTATGCCCAAATTCTTACACTGACAGTATCTTTGATTTGCATAAATAGAACTGTCAAAATGTTGGGATGGGCGGGTCAAAATTTTTTCTTGGTCCAGTTTTTCCATTCCTGGCCCATCGAGCCAATAAAGCCTGGATCTTTTTTTGCCTAGCCCATATAAAAATCGGCCCGGCCCGATTCAGGCTAGAAATTTGGCAGCTCTGCACAATCACAGCTTATGCTTTATCTCCATGCTGACGATCTGGCATATTGCAGCAATACATTCATCATCTGGAAGCCCAGCTTCAAGAGGAGATGTCACGGCATGCACCTCTGTATGGTGTGGGCCTTGAAGCCTTGTCCATGAAGGAGCTCGACACCATATCTCGTATTCATGAAGAAGGGCTCAGGCAGATTCATGCCGTCAAACAGCGCAAGGGGAGTCCAGCTGGCAGCCCTCTCGTGAATCCCCACACACTTTCTCACACGCACGGACTCTACTCTTCCAACCCTTCCTCGATGGCCGTGGGGTTACCACCGACTCTCATCCAGAACAGTGTCGGAATCCACAGCAACGGGCATGTGAACGGTGGTGGGGTCGGCCCGTGGTTCAACCACTAGGGACCCGACCCGACCTGCTGGAGGTTTTGGCAATGGCCCGTTTTAGTCAAGTTGGGAAAGAGGTACACGTACTAGGAGATTCGAATAATGGTTTACCAGCATCTGATGGATGGTAATGTTTTTACCTCTTTTTTTTTTTTTTTTTTTTTTTTTTTTTTTTTTTTTTTTTTTTTTGGTGTTCTATTGGCATTTTAATCGGCAGCAAAGGTTCTTCGGAAAGTTCTGTGTTAGGGTCGATATTTTTTTTTTTTTTTTTTGGTGCTGCGCTAGCATGCGACTCTGATGATAAACGGAAATGCCACAACTGTTTGTTTTTTTTTTTTTTGTTCTCATAAATTAATCAAAGGCATCTAGAGAGTTGTTGATTTAGTTGGTTGGTTTTTAACTTATTATTAGCTTCTTTATTTATTTTTATTTACCAAAACGCATTCCACTTGCTCTAAATTTGGGGAGATGTTAGGGTTTCGTTACGGTATCATCTCGTCGGGTGTTTTAACCATTGGATCATCTATTCTTATCTAACTATAACTTGATTCAACGGTTAAAACACCCGACGTGATGGTACCGTAACGAGACTGTAGCATTTCCACTAAGTTTGAAGATATTCAAAAATAGTAAGTTTAGCGAAGACTAAGTTTGAAGATAGTTTGAAGAACTGTAACAGATGAAAACAATGTACAATAACTAAATATATGAATTTATCATGAAACAATTTTCTATATAAAATTCATTGTTTTTAAATCTCGAGTATGAAAAATCCTTTATGATTCTTTGCTTTCAAAAATTGAAATGTTTTTCAATTAACGTACATTTGTTTATTATAATTAATAAAAATACCACGAAAAATTTATTATTTTCCACTTAATTATATAGATTTAATTAATTCATAAAAACCTTTTTTAATTACGACGCACGCATACGCACGTGCCATTTACCATCAATTTTTGTACGAGTTTCGAAATTAAAATTCAAAGCAATAGGAGAGAAAATGATGGAGAAAAAAGAAAAAAAAAAAAAAGGAAAAGGGAAAATTAAAAGTAAAACAGAAAGTCAACACTCCCGAGCCCCAGATAGATAACGTCCGTCATTCGCCCACGTGGCAAGGGATCAAGAGTGCCACGTCACTATTTGACCGGTAATACCGTTAGGCAGCTGACAATCCGATTTTCCACACACTGTTGTTCTTGAATCAATTGCACCAAAATTAAACAAAATTATTATTTTATTTTTATTTTTATTTTTTAAAAATTTGTTCGTAATTGGGATTATCAAAATCAATGGCTTTGCTTTTTGTATCTGGTAAATTAATTATTTAGAAGATGAAAAATAGCAAGCTTACACACTGTTCTGTTAGTTGTTAGTATTACAGATCAATCCAAACACAAGAACACAACTTCTTTGTTCTCTTTTCTGTTTTGAATCTCATATGGGATTTTTAGTTGGCTACGTCGTGGGCTTTGCGTTAGGCTTCGGCTTGATCGTTGGCTTTGCTCGTTACCAGAACAGCAGATCCAAAAGACGAACAGATTTGGTATCCGTTTTTACCTTCTTGATTATTTTATTTTATCTTATGTTTTTGTTGTCCTTGTTGTTGTTCATTGTGTCGCGAGGTTATCCTGATCGATGTTTTCTCGTGCGAATGTATTTAATCACACATAAACAAATTCACTTTGTTTTAGTTATGCAAATTTGAAGATAGATAGATGAATGAAACAAGTGATTTTAGTATTTAATGTACTTTTCAGGCAGCAGCAGTATCGGCTTTTGCAAGAATGACAGTAGAAGATTCGAGGAAACTTCTACCAGAAAAATTTTACCCTTCTTGGGTTGTCTTTTCACAGAGGCAGAAGTTGAGTAATTCTAAACAAACTGTTCATAGGCTTCGAATTATGCAGATTCACATACTTATGGGATTTTGATCTTTATCTGTTTCTTCATGATTTGCAGTTGAATTGGCTTAACCATCAGATTGATAAGATATGGCCCTACGTTGATGAGGTTATATCTTCCCGTTTTTCCTTTTTTCTCTTTTGTTCGTATGTTCTTCCATGTGTTGTGAACCAGTTTGATTTTGATATTTTTTTGTATAAAATTTTGTGTGTTGTATAGGCAGCATCAGAGATAATAAGGAACTCGGTGGAGCCGATTCTCGAGCAATATAGGCCGGCAATTTTGGCTTCTCTCAAGTTTTCTAAGCTGACTCTAGGGACTGTGGCACCACAGTTCACAGGTCATAAAATTTTGCAAAGTGCATGCGTTTCACATGTTTAGCATTTAATCGTTTTTACTGAATGCTCGTGTAAAATGTACCCTTTTTTGTGTGATGAAAATAGGAGTTTCTATCCTTGACGGGGACCCTAACGAGATAATTATGGAATTGGACTTGCAGTGGGACGGTAACCCAAACATCGTACTTGATATCAAGACTAGAGTTGGTGTAGCTCTACCTATACAGGTATTTTTTCGAATCTTTTTTTCAATGTTTAATGGAGGAAATGAAGAAAAAAAATGGAGATTGTAGAAACAATTTTGTTCTGTTAATCATTGATGTTTGCTACCATCGACTTTACGTGTGCAGGTAAAAAATATTGGATTCACGGGGGTTTTTAGGTTGATATTCAAACCGCTGGTCGATGAGTTCCCTTGTTTTGGCGCCGTTTGTTATTCGTTAAGAGAGAAGGCGAGTTCTTAACAAACTTGCAACTTGAAACCATTGTGAACCCGTATTTTGTTTAGATGGTAATTAATGTGTTCGTATTTATACGTGCAGCGGAATCTCGATTTTACCCTCAAAGTGATTGGTGGCGATATATCGGCAATTCCAGGGATATCAGATGCCCTTGAGGTTTTTGGATCCTTTTTTCGTCTTGTTACTCATCTTGCATTTTGAATGTCAAAATGCATCAAACCTCATCTTACGATTTCTGATTTTTGGCTAAATTTCAATTTTATTTGTGCCTTTAGGATACAATACGCGATGCTGTTGAAGATTCGATAACCTGGCCGATACGTAAAATCGTACCCATTATACCGGGAGATTATAGGTCAAGCCATCAGTCAATCTACTTTGTACATAAACAATCTTTTTTATTAATTTTTTTTTTTTTTCCAACTTTTTTGTGTCTTGTTACAGTTACTTGGAGGTGAAGCCGGTCGGGATCTTGGAAGTGAAGCTCATAGAAGCCAAGGAATTAACAAACAAGGACATTATCGGCAAATCTGATCCGTTCGCAAAGATATACATCCGCCCTTTACGTGACCGAACAAAAACCAGCAAAACAATTGTAAATCCTTCTTTTCTCTCCATTTCATTTTGTTTCTCTAACATAAAGCGACTGATAAGCTTTCTATTTTTGGAAAGGATAACCAAATAAACCCAATCTGGAACGAACACTTTGAGTTTGAGGTGGAGGATTTGTCCACTCAAAACGTCACGGTCAAGGTTTATGACGATGAAGGAATTCAAGCGGCCGAGTTAATCGGCTGTGCTCAAGTCCCACTGCGTAATCTCGAGCCCGGAAAAGTCAAAGACGTGTGGCTAAAGCTGGTCAAGGACTTAGAAATCCAAAGGGACAACAAAAACAGAGGACAGGCAAGCCATTTGTTTATTTATTTTTGTCATTTTTCCATGAAAATTTCACTTTGATTTCGTTGGAATTTGCATTTCCACTCGATTTTTCAGGTGCATTTGGAGCTGCTGTATTGTCCTCTGAACTCGGAGAGCAAATTCAAGAACCCATTTGACCCGGATTTCAGGTTGACTTCCCTCGAGAAGGCTCTCAAACAAGTGACGGAAGATGGGGCAGATAGTCCTTGCCCGGACCTCCCGAAATCTAATTCCATGAGAAGTGACGTTATTACAAGAGGCGTACTTTCGGTGACTGTAGTGTCGGGTGAGGACTTGCCAGCCACGGATTTCATGGGGAAATCGGACCCTTTTGTGGTGCTCCTGATGAAAAAGGCGGGCCAGAAGAACAAGACACGGGTAAAATTAATAAACACGTTTGATCAAATGGAAAGTTCTCAACTGGCTTAAGGTTAAAAACAACAAATGGGTTTGTTATTTTTCAGGTGTTAAACGACACGTTGAATCCGGTTTGGAATCAGACGTTCGATTTTGTGGTGGAGGATGCGCTGCACGAGCTGCTCATCCTCGAGGTTTATGACCACGACACGTTTGGGAAGGTAATGACTATTGAGTACTAAAGTATATGCAGAGTTGAACATAAGAAGTGAGTCTTTACTTAAACCTAAAACGATGAATGTGCAAATTTTTTTTTGTCAACTGAGATTGCTGCTAGTATACTTCTTCTCATGCGCTTGTTTCAATGGTGCACTGGTAATTTAGGACAAGATGGGAAGGTGCGCCATGACGTTAACGAGGGCTATAGTCGAAGGCGAATTTACCGACACTTTCCCGATCGATGGTGCAAAATCTGGGAAGCTCACTTTGCATCTCAAGTGGACTTCACAAAGTATCATCAAGGAATGATCAAATTGGACTTCCATATACATTCTCCATTTTGTTAAAGGATTCACAGTTTGACATTTGTTTGAACATAACTGTAAATGTATTTTTCTGAATTGTTTTGGTGTGATCTTCTGTTTGTTTCTCTGTTCTCACACTCTTGTGCATGAAGTTATTAGAATTAACTGTAGGTATTCTGTCCATTTGGAAAACATACTATTTTCATAAATATGCATACATTTCATTGAAAAATGTCCTACTTTTAAAAATAATATCAACACAAGTATGGTATTTAACATTATAAATATGCATTTATGTTTGAAGAGCATGATGAATCTGACATGTCTAATGATTCGACTGTGATATAACATGGAGTAGCTCGGATAAACCGGCTACAGTCAGCTCGAGTTAGTCAATCCAAAAGTATCTGGGGTTAGGGAGTCTAAGCTAGCTCGGGTCTCGACCACCAGTTTTGATATCTCGGACAACATAATATAGCGATAGCACGGACAACATAGTATGATAGTAGGTCGGACAACATAGTACGAAAGTAGCTCGTACACGGGATAGCTCGGCCATATAGTAGAGTGGTGTCAATATTTCAATAGCTTGAATAGTGTAGCAGCTAGAACAAAATGGGCAGAAGAGCTGAAGAGGCAGAACTATATATTTAATAGGCCGGAGAACTTATTGATACGGGCCGAACAAGAAAGACTTGATCTAGAAGGGAACTTGTAGGGGCTAAAAGAGTAAGAAGATCTATGGGGGAAGGATAAGGAGACATGTTGAGAAGGAAACGTGTAAGGCTGTATTAGAAAGATTTAAATGATCCTACGAATAAAAGTGGGTCTTGGGCATACTTAGGGGAACCAAATAGCCGTCGAGCAGGCCTCAGGGTAGGCAATTTTTGTTCAAGAAGCTAATGATTTTCTATATCTATAATCTATATCTATCTATAATCTATATCTATAATCTATCTATATCCATAATCTATAATCCATCTATCTATAATCTATATCTATATCTATAATCTATCTATAACTTCTATCTATAATCTATAATCTATATCTATCTATATCTATAATCTATCTATAATCTATCTATCTATAATCTATAATCTATAATATATCTATCTATAATATATCTATCTATAATCTATAATCTATCTATCTATAACTCCCTTAAAAGGATGAGTTATTTCTTGAAAATTTTGAAATGTCCACATTACCCTCTAAAGTTTTACCATTTAAGGACATAAATGTAATAATATATCTTCATTAGTATCTCATCCAACCACATTGAAATAAAATCTGAAAAGTCACTACCCCCCAATAAAAAATAATGTTACTTCTAAAAGTATTATATTATGTTACTTCCAAAAATTTATATTATGTCTTATTCCAAATACATTTACTATTTGTAATATAATATAAACAATCAAAATTGACAAATAACAATTTAAAATTTAATTAGAATAACTGAAATATTAAAACACATGACTTAATATAAAATTGTTTCAAATAATTTCAAATAAAACGTTTTAAATCATATTTTGATGTTTTAATCATGAATGTCATGACATAGTACTCAATTTTTTTTTATAATATTCCTTGTGTATATTATAATTAATAATTTTTTATGATATTAATCTACTGAAAAAAAAAATTGACCGATATCTAAATTTTTAAATGAATGTATTGGCACAACTACAAAAGTAAGATTTTTTTTTTTTCTACACAAATATTAAAAATTCTTGTAATGCAAAGTCAATAAAAAAATTAAAAAAATAAATAATCAATAGAACTAACCTTTTATTGAAACCAAACATTTATCTATTTAACTGGTTTTTTCCAACGTCATAATATATTAATCTTTTTTATTCTTATTGTATTATTTTATTATAAATATATTATTCAATTAACTTATGGTTCTCATTGTTTTTTATTATTTACTAAATATTTGTATGTTATTTTTTAAAATAATTTTTTAAATATTAATGTATTAAAATGTTTGTATGCTATTTTTTTCATTCATTTTTCCTAGTATTAAAAATAGTTATTCAACATAATAAAATATCAATGTTTTATGGAAAAAAAATTAGTTAAGTGCAAATATATAGTTTTAATAGAAATACTTTGTTTAAATTATACATTAAAATATATGCATGATACAATTTAACTTTATATGTTAGTAGTATGTACAGTATAAATGTTCTTTTATGGTAATATGTGTTATATAAATTAATCTACTATTTAATTTAATTGTAATAGAAATCAAAATATACTAATTATTAAAATAAAATAAAATAAGTAATACTCGATTTTAAAATCTTGAATTTCAAAATATGTGTACTTGTAAGAAAATATATAGTTATAATAATTATAATTAATTAAATAAAAATAAATATTACATTTACTTTAAATTTATTTCAATAGACTATCTTATTATAAATCATAGATAAATTTAATTTTTCAAATCACTTCTTAAAACTAGGAAACATAAACCTTGTAAAAATATTGACAAATATATAAAATAATGTTAAGATAAAAGTAAATTATGAAAGAATCATGATTTTACAATTTATTTAAAATAGAATTATTATTTTTTTTCATTTTTTAGATAGTCTTGCAAATCCATGAACGAAAATGATAATGCATGTATGACAATGTTAGGAGATGTAACAATAATTTATTTTGGACAATATATATAGATAAGCACCTTCAATTAACCAATGTTACAACATTATATATAGATAGATGAGAACCTTTAATCAATCAAGGATGTTATTGTTCCTAATTTCAAGTTCTTATATCATTATATACAGAGAGAAAATATATATCTAAATATTACGAAATATTACACGTGCAAATATAATTGAATTTGCAACCGTTATAATCAAAATAATAGAGAACGAAACATTCAACCACAGTGCCAGCTTCCAACCAACAATAAGCAAATGATAATTACAAATTATAGTTATAGTAAATTCGAGTTATTTTATAGTTATAGTAAGACGCAAAAGGAAGACATTAAAAAAGATATTATTTTCACAATAATAATGATCATTATTTTAAGCATAAGGATGATATCACTAAATAGCAAAACCAAGGACGACATAGATTTCTTCAGCATTTCAAATTTAAAAAAAAAAATATTAATTTTATTTTAGATTTTATAACCAATATTTTTTATTTAATTTTATTTGTCATAGAGTTATGTTAATAGTATTAAATTTTATATTTATCATAAAATACACAATTTTTTGTTAAATAATGAAAAGAAAATTATATTTTGCTATTAAATTAAATATATAATAAAAATAATTTTGAGTAAAAAAATTAATATTACGCGCGTAGCACGTGCATCTTCCTAGTTTAATATAAATAGGCAAGAGGTATGAAAGGTAAGGTGATGCCGACGAGATTGCGGATTCGAGAGCGAATCATCTCCACCTGGGGGAGAATGATGCCGACGAGATTGCATTAGCATATCTCGACAAATATGATCGACTTAGGCTTTTAGTTTGATAGTTATTATATGTATTACTATTATTTATGTGTGTATTTATTTATATTGTGTTTTGGGCTTATTTTAGTTTGGGCCTTTAAATTTATGTTATAAGATGGGATATTATTTAAAGCCCGTAGGTTAGTCATTGTGAAGCAGTTATGAGATATTGAATGAAATTGTATCGAGAAATTTACTCCCTTTACATATGCTTGTGGAAATAATATCACATTTACGAGAAACAAATCTTTTCATCATATATACTTTCTATAATAATAATTTAAGGGAGTCAGGTGTTAAATGAGGCCTAATTAACCGTTAATAAGTTTTAATTATATTTAATTAAGAAAAATAATAAGTCAGTTTTAAAAACAACAAACCACACCCAATTAGATTATTGCATGATTTTTGGAGAAAAAAAAAAAGAAATCAAGATTTTCTTTCTCCATATCTCGTTTATTGTGCACATAACATCTCACAAAAGAAAAGAGATCTTGATCCCTTCATGTCTTCATCAGTCTATCAAAAAAAAAAAAAATCTTCATCTCTCATCTTTCACACACAAGAAACTAAAACTCTCTCTGCGAAAATTGGAAGAATGCAAAAGCGTAAATAATTGAGGCAAAAAATTCCAACAACAAAGACGAAGCAAGGATAGTTCGATCCTGATTTCGTCACACAACTCAACTTCACCCCCCAGCGCGCAAGGTTGTACAAACGAAGCTCCAATTTCAGAAAATAGAGCATCCAAGTCGTGTCAAAAAACGTGACCCGAAGACCGCCGACGGTGGCTCGGAAGGTGGCGACGATTTTGTGTCCGAACAGAAAAAAAAAATAAGGTGCTTTACGACACCAAGAAGAAGAGGGCTCAACAAAAAAAGGGTAAAGTGAAAATTGTCGATTCTTCAATGAATCAACAAGTGTTCGATTCAGATTTCAACATTAACGAGAAGAAAGAAGAAAATTAGTGAATGTGGTGCGGGTTTATCAAATCACGATAGTGAGATGGTTATTATTATGTAAAGTTGAAATATGTTGGAATTGACAAGTTTTGAGTTTTCGGAGTCATGTAAAGTAGACATAGGTTGTTTATCTAATGTATAACTACATTCGGTTTTGGATTTTGCAATCATTCAGTATTGTGTATTATGTTTTTATACCGTTTTACTGTTGTTTATATCTTGTTTATCTTATGTATAACTATACATGTAATATTAGAGAAATGTTAGACCATGTTTATCTTATGTATAACTATCACTATTCTAAAAATCGGCCTAGGCGCCCGCCTAGGCGGCGCCTAGGCGCTAGGCGGTGCCCGGGCGCCTCCGATTTGCACAAATCGGTAGAAAAAATTGGCTAGGCGGCGCCTAGACGGGCCTAGGCGGCCCTAGGCGCTCCTAGGCGGCCTTGGCGGGCTCGGCGGCCAGGCGGTTAGGCAGCGCCTAGGCGGGCATAGGCGGACCTAGGCGCTCCTAGGCGGGCTCGGCGGCAATTTTTCAGTTTTTATTTTTATTTTTTTAAATATTAGTTACATTTTTTGTTCTCATGTTTTCTTTAAAGTAAAATAATTTGATTATTTGATCTTAAGTGTGTCGATATATTATAAGTTGAGATAATTTTATTTTGTAGGTAGTTTAAATAAATAAAAAATAAGGCATTTAATATTGATTTCTAGGCCCCGACTAAGCGCCGCCTAGGCCCCGCCTAGTCGCTCTAGGCGCTAGGCGCTGGTCGAGCGCCTAGCGGGCGCCTAGCGACTTTTAGAACATTGATAACTATACAGGAAATATTGTAGAAATGTTAGACCATGTTTATCTAATGTATATACAGTATATCTAAACATTTTTTTTCGTGGTTATTAGGAAGTATATGTACAATTATACTTAACATAAACGGTAGATAATAAAAATATTGTCACACACAAGCCATTGACGAATATATTGATTTTATTTGCTAAAAATTTGCTTTCTCATACCAAACATCAAATCACTGCCAAAACTCAGATAATTTGAATTGAAATCCCCACCGTCACAGTTACGTTACCGTAAGCAGAGCCTATCTCGCCACCGCCAAAGCACACCCCATCTAAAACACCAGCCTTGGCGTACCTCCATACGCCAAACTAAAGAAAGTACCATCTCCCATCTCGCAACCGCCAAAGCACACCCCATCTAAAACACCGGCCTTGGCGTACCTCCATACGCGAAACTAAAGGAAGTACCATCGACAACAATAATAGGCCTACAATGATTCCACCCTTTAATTGAAGCATTAAGACACATTGACACTTTTATCTTTGAAAGTTTCGCCGACCGCAATATCAATATTCATGTATCCATCGACCAAAACTCCAAGTTTCTGGAATGTTTATTTCTCGTTTATCTTCCGTATACTTCACTGTTTTGGAGTGTTCTAGAGTGTTTATTTTCCGTTTATCTTCCGTATACTTCACTGTTTTCAACATAGTCTGCAGTTGGTTCGGTGATTCATCTGTAATATCATCGTCTTCTGAATATTTTCGAGAACACATATTCCTGAAAATAAACGATTTATCACCCAAGGCCACATAATAAACTATAAAAATTAAAGAACAAAAAACCACTATTGTAATATAACACCACATAAAAAACACCAATACGAAATTACCTTCTCGAGTTTTTTTTTTTTATCAACGAAGATATCACGAAGAACAATATTTGATTCATAGAAGATTTCACGAATAACGATTTTTTGCTTTCCAATCCCGTTCAGAGCCTTTTTCTTTTGTTCAACTGGATCAATTTTTTTTCCCAGATCTCGACAGGAGCGTGCTCTGTAAATTGGTCGCCAATTATAAAACTATGTCTCATAATTTTGGAATGATTTTATTTGAAAAATATGGGGATAATAGCGTCGGTTACAGAGGAGTGGACAGATTCTTGGGCTGAATATGATGAACCGTATTTTTGATATTATTTGCATCTGGAAATCCTTATATGATAAAACTTCTTTCATACCGTAAATATGAAATTAAGATGACTAAGAGGCACAGATGCGTAAATTTCCCAATTGTATCAGAACAAAAACTGTTCTTGCATCTGTAAATTTCCCAATTGTATCAGAACAAAAACTGTTCTTTGTGTTCTCTGGAGAAGAAAACTACCTTCTCAGGCTACTCAATGCATCATAATAAGGGTCTAATCTTTTTTTTTTTTCAAACATCAAATATTATATATTGATCACCAAATGTACATTTCGGCAGCCAAATGACCGCAATACACCTTTCAAAGCCACAACAGAGAAAGGGTACAAGGGGTGTTCTGCACGCATATCACCCTAAGAGACCATCAAGGCCATATAACAAAGAAACAAGGAGAACAAAAGCTAAAAGCAACCTGACACAGAAGCAAAATCAAGAACAATCAACAAGAACAAAATCAGAGAAAAGGAGCCGCAAGGAGCAGATATCTTCCAAAAGGACAGCAGATTCCACAAAGCCGAGGTCACAGTCCAAGAGCAGCTTGAGGAATTTCTTGTCACTGACTTTGAGGATCACCTTCTGCCAACCTTGCTTGCAGCCCTGGTCTAACCAGTTTCTGAGCTGAAAGAGAGCATCATCCACTGAGTGCTTGGAGAAAACACCCCTAGAGTGCTCCCAGGAGGCCACCAAAGCAGAATTAACAAAGGCTGTCCCATGCATGATCCAAGACTCAGCCTGAGGTGAGGAAGCACTGGAATCTGCAAGCAGGTCCCCTACTCCTTGTGCCTCTACTGAAGTTGTGATTTTGCCAGGCCCTATCTGAACTTTTCTGAATAAGCTTCTGCCAAATTTAAGCTCATCATACTCCTGCCATTCCAGCTTAGCTGCTTCAACGAGCTGCAATTCCGAGATTCGAGAGTTTTGAAATAAGCAGGTGTTTCTGGTCTTCCACAACCACCAGAGAAGGTAAGTGGAGAGAGAAACTCTGGCTTTGTTGATTGCAGAAGGTTTAAGGCTGGAGAGACAAGTCCACCAATCTGAGAAAGAAGTTTGAGTGTCCTGCAGACAGTCCCAACTTAGCCCAGCCAACTTCCATACCCTTCGGGCCCTTGCACAGGTGAACATAAGATGCTCTAAATTCTCTTCTTCATCCCCACACCAGCAACAAATTTTATCAACCATTATTCCTTTTTGCTGAAGCCTGCAATTGGTTCCCACCCAGTTATGGATACACCTCCAAAGAAAGTTTCTGACCTTAGGCTTGATTTGAAGTTTCCAGACAGCCTGCCATATTTGCTGCATGTTGCTTCTCCCAGAGCTGGATTCAGCCACATCAGCTTTATTGATTGTTGCTTGGTGGATTGCTTTGTAGGCCTCTTTAACAGAAAACAGGCCCTTCTTATCAGTGTGCCAAATGAGCTTGTCTGGAGTATTCTGGCTGCTAATGTGAGTGCTCATTATTAAAGCAGCATCAGCAGGTGTGAATGTTTGAAAAATTAACTCAGTATTCCACTTACTTTCTCCTGCCACCATGAGATCAGAAACAGTGTGCAGGTTGAGCTTATCACTCTCAAAGCAGCAGTAGGGTCTAAAGGCATTGGAGTTAGGCAGCCATGGAGAATCCCAAATATTAATGGACTTTCCAGTGCCCACTTGATACCTAAGACCCACAGCAAGGGAGCCTCTAACATCAAGCCACCCTTTCCACATCCAAGAGTCAGAGTCTCTCTTCTTAACCTCTAAGAAGTTTTGCTTATGACAATATTTACCTTTCAAAACTCTACTCATAAGGGTATTAGGCTTAGTAAGCATTCTCCAAATTTGCTTGATGATGAGAGCTTCATTCATAATCCCCAAGTCCCTGAACCCCATACCCCCATCTTTCTTATGCCTAGCAAGATTTCCCCATGAGGCCCAATGAACTCTATTGCCCCCCTCAGCATTCTTACCCCACCAAAATTGAGCCACTTCTCTACAAATATCAGCACACACCCCCCTAGGCAATTTAAACACAGACATGACATAAAGAGGGAGAGCACTCAAGACAGTTTTGATAAGAATCTCCTTACCTGTTTCACTCAAGAAAGTGTTCTTCCAGTTAGAAACTCTGGACATTACACAGTCTCTCACAAAAGCAAAAGTGTCTCTCTTATTTCTGCCTATCCCCATAGGCATCCCTAAATACCTAGAGTGCTTGGCCACCACAATCCCTTGAAGGATATGACATATGCTATTCTTCTCAGGAACAGAAGTATTGGCAGAGAAAAAGATATTAGACTTATGCAGATTCACAGACTGGCCAGAAGCAGCACAATAAGAGTCCAAAATGTTCAAAAGCAAAGAGGCATGATAATCATCAGCTTGACATAAAAATAAAGAGTCATCAGCAAAGAATAAATGAGAGATACTAGGGGAAAATTTACTGATTTTAAGACCCTTAAAAGATAGAGAAGAGCTGGCTCTATGCATGAGATTAGAGAGAGCCTCAGAAACAAGAATAAAAAGATAAGGGGATAACGGATCCCCTTGTCTTAACCCTCTAGAAGGGGTCACATTACCTAAATATTGACCATTAATATTAAAGGAAAATGAAGAGGTGGATAAGCAGGACCAGATCCAACCCAAAAATTTGTCACAAAACCCAAAATGCCTACAAATTCTAATAACAAAACCCCACTCAACCCTATCAAAAGCTTTGGCCATGTCAATCTTTAAGGCCATGAATTTTTTCTTCCCTCTTTTTTTACTATTTAGGTAGTGGATGCACTCATTAGCAATAATAATATTATCAAGGATTTGCCTATCAGGCACAAAAGCAGTCTGAGACTGAGAGATACAAAATTGAATAACACTTCTCAGCCTGAGAGCAAGAATTTTAGAGATTAGCCTATAGGTAATAGTACAGAGGCTAATAGGCCGAAAATCAGAAACAAATTTGGGATTTTTAATTTTAGGAATTAAGGTAATAATAGTTTGGTTAGTAGCCTTAGGGATACAACCAGAAGCAAAGAAATTATTAACAGCAGCACACAAATCAGATTTTATGGTAGACCAACAAGATTGAAAGAATGAAGGGGAGAAGCCATCAATACCTGGGGCTTTTCCAGGGTCCATCTGCCACAAAGCATCCTTGACTTCCTTTTCATCCACAGCTTTAGTCAAGTCCTGATTCATGGCTGGAGTAATAGCTTTAGGAATACCAAACAACACATCATCATCAACAGTGGGGTTTCCAGTGGTGAAAAGATGCTGAAAATAATCAGAGACCTCCTCCACAATCTCTGTCTGATTAGCACATCTTACTCCATTCCTTTTTATCAGATTCTCCAGGCTGTTAGAACTCCTCCTTTGCCTCACACAGGCTTGGAAAAATCTGGTGTTGTGATCCCCTTCTCTTAGCCACCTTACTCTGGACTTCTGCTTCCAGAACAATTCTTCATCCTTATAGGCTTTATGTGCTCTCTCCTTGCATTCAGACCATTCATCCCAGTTCTTGTGCTGACCTTGCAGGTTCAACAATATCAGCTTCTCATTACATTCTTTGATTGTCTGTGAAGAGTTAGTGCTCCTGGAAGAAAGCCAACCCAGCAAACTCAGCTTGACATTTCTAAGCTTTTTCTGAAAAGAGTATAGGGCTGGTCCAGCAACTATCTTGCTCCAAGACTGGGCAATACACTCCTTGAATCCATCCTCCTTGACCCACCTGCTATAAAAAAAGAACATCTTCTTTTTCCTCTGCTCTGCTCCTATGTTGTCCATAAGCAAAAGACTGTGATCTGAGGAGATCAGGGGAATGTGCAGTACAGAGGCAGTGGGAAATTTCAGGAACCACTCAGGGGATAAAAGGATTCTATCTAATCTAACTTCCACAAAATCAGCCCCCCTCCTGTTGTTGGACCAAGTATAAGGATGACCAAGGCTAGGGCACTCAACAACACCTAAGAGCTGGGTAAATCTCCTGAAGTTGTGAAAGGAGGCTTCACTTCTAATAATCCCTCCATTCTTCTCAGAGTTGCTAAGGATGTCATTAAAGTCACCCCCCCACAAACCACAGATTGCCCCAGCTAAGGTGATGCCTAATCAAAATATCCCATTGACTCTGCCTCACAGAGGGGTCAACACTAGCATAGAGGAACACACCCCACATCCTATCAGGAGACCCATCAAGGAGAAAGTTAACCTCAATACTAAAATCATTACTAATAATATCTAAAACCATAATTCTACTGGACCAACAAAGCAAAAGACCACCCTTACTACCTATAGGGTTAACACACATCCATCTATCAGCTACATTTAAATTCTTACAAACAGCTTTAACAAAAGATTTAGGCTTTTTAGTTTCAGACAAAAAGATAAAATCAGGGAGGTAGGCTCTGACATTGTCCTTTAACTGGGAAATTGTAGAGGGTCCTCCCAAACCTCTACAATTCCACACCAAAACTCTCATTTGAAAACTTGGGACCAGTTATGGCTGGTTTCCTCCACCAATTTATCAGAAAGATTTTGATCAGTTTTTGGGTTTTTAAAACAGACTGCATCATTCACAGAGGGTGAAATCAGATTTTCAGGAGATTTCCTTTTAAAACAGATTACATTATTCACAGAGGGTGAAATCAGATTTTCAGAAGCTTTCCTTTTCAAATCAATATTACCTACAAGAGGCTGAGAAAGATAGCAGACAGAGGGTGTTGGTGCCTCTGTGACTTTAGCTCTAGGAATTTTAACAAAAGTTTTGAGTTTTTTAGCAACCAAAGGGGTAGACTTGCCCTGTTGAATAGGGACATTAACAAGAATATCATTATCCAGAATAAGATCAACCTTACTGTGGCTTTGGGCATTATCAAGGTCCATGACCTCACAAACAGGGAGAACACTGGCATCTCCCTCTATTTCACTAACAGCAGACTCCCCAGGATTGACTCTCACAGGGTTCTTAACATTACTAGGAGGGTTGTTGCTGATAGCACTGCTATCAACTCCAGGTTGGACAATGGTTTTAGAGGGTAAGGGCCCCAGAGACCCTTCTTTCCCATTAGGGGTTGACACACCTGTTTCAATAGCTTTAGAGGTACTAGAGCCAGAGTTTAACTTATCCCTATTGTCATAGGTAGGGCTGGAAGATCGCCTATCTCTATTATCAAAACTACCCACAAAAGAACCTCTAAGCCATAATAAGGGTCTAATCGCAATATATACACTCGAAGTTTTACAAGTTATTACTTACACTCTAAAAGTAATTCTTATAGTTTAATATTATTAACTAAATGAAATATTTAATTATTGTAGTTTAATAAATTATTCAACTACTTAGAATTTTTAATTTGGATAGTTTATACAAAAAGAAATTTATTTTAATTAATGGAACAATATAAGTTTTATAATCCCCCTATATATTAATACAGAATGCGCTGAGCCTACGTGGCTGCTTCTGGTGCTTCGGAATCTTATGTGGCAAAATTACATGCTTCGTTATTAGGCTTGGGTAAATTTTAATTTAATTCCAAACCAAAAATAATTAGGTTCGGATTACCATAAATATGTTGATTATTTATGGTCATGTTTCATGTATTAATTGTATTTTAATATCATTCTTTATTATAACTATTGAAAGTTAATAACTTTTGTATTTTTTATCAGTTTTACATATGGAATATATCAAATTAATCTTTTTTTGATAAGCTTCGATTTAATATCCATATTGTATGTATAAAAAAAATAATTTATATTTATTTATAACAATAATTAAATTATTTTTAATATTAATTAGAAAAATAAAATTATTTATCAACTAATATATTTATATTTCAAGTAGTTATATGATATAAGTTATAAAAACTAATATAATATAACACATGTAAGTCATAAGTAACACATATCATTCTAAAATATATAGTAATATTTTTTTTTTAAAAAAAGTAAACTAAATTTAATATAATTTTCTCATTAATTTTAAAATTTAAGAATAATTTTTTAACAAGCACCCGTGTAATACACGGGTATTGTACTAGTTATATGTATTATTCACATAGATTTTTAAATAATGACAAAATTTTACCAAAATAATTATTTTATGGATAACGTTGTGGTCAAATTGAATTTCTGAATAAATATTTTAAAATGACACATATTTTAAAATCAGTATTATATAATTTATTATCAGTTACGTGTACCGTACATCGTGTTTTGTATCGTGTTTTGTATTAATTTTAGATAGACATGTTATATGTAATTTTACACAACTTAAATTTCATATGACATTTTCAATAAATTAATATAAGTAAATTGTATTAGATTCCACATTTCTAATTTATAAATATTATTTAACGTGCAATTTAAATATTATTAACCGACGTTCACAAATCCAAGTATTCGACCCAACTTTCGCTAAAGATTGCTCATGCAATACCCAAGTGATGCTTGCTGACGCAACATATAAAAATAACTTTCACCTCTTAATTTGGGCGCTGATCAATCAAAATTAGGGTTCTTGTTATTATCAACTGTGGATCTCTCTCTCGACAAATTCCATGGCAGCGCAGTACGTCCTGACCTTTGTCGCTCTGATCTTAGTTTCTCTGCCTTCGGCACTCGGGATCTCTAATGGGTAACTCTTCTTATCCAAAATAAGCTTCAATTTTCAAATTTCCTTTCAGTTGAAAATATCTCGAAAGATTGTTTATGTTCGAAATGCTTTCACTATGTTTATCTTCATACTTGAGCTGGGCCGCCCTATTGATCCCCTTTCTTGTAGGAATATCGAGGGATATAGTATAAATGGTAAAGTTAGATTTCCAGGTACGCTCTCTCAACCTACTGCCTTCGTAAAAGGGCTTGTGTACATAAACTTTTAATGGTTTCATCAGTTTCTTGATTTAGAAGTTTTCTTCCTGTACAATCATGAATTGCCACTGGATTTCTCGACGATTTTAGGCCTTTTGTAATTGAAATAGATTCGAGTAAGTTGCAGAGTAACCATAGACGTTTCCTTCTTGTATGAGTGTGGTTGGGAGTTCTGGGTTGCAGTATGGTTCTTTTACTTTTATGTTCTTCTAAACCTAATTTAAGTGTGAACGACAGTTTTAGACACTCCCGTAGGCGTATATTTGGATTTACAAGTTTGGAGTATTAGATTGGTTTATATCCACTGAAAAAATAAAGCCAAAGTTGATGCTAAAGGAAATTTAATTACAGCCCGATTTGAATCCTTCAACCTGAATTCTGTAATCCTTCTCGTTTTTCTCCTTAAACACTTTTGTCCAGCTGAGATTTATAAAAAAAGAAAATGTCTGGTGGGTGGCAATGGATGGTGTGTTTCAATAGTATCATTTCACATGCACAAGGAAGATGGGCTGAATGATTATGTTATATGGTAGAAAAGACATTATGGCTTCAGGCTTAATGATCCCAGTTTATGAAGTGAACATAGTTGTGTTATGATTGCCCTGGATTAGTTACATTTCAAATCCACTTCCTATTTTTTTTTTTTTTTTTTTTTTTTTTTTTTTTTTTTTTTTTTTTTTTTTTTTTTTTTTTTTTTTTTTTTTTTTTTCGAGCTGCTGCTATATTTTATCATTCAATTCGACTTATGCTTTTCTCTGTTCAATGCTTTTGCTCCACAAGGATTCAGTGCAACTGGATTTGGCCTCCCTGCTAAAATCGCAAATGTCAAAATTATTCTCAACGGTGGTCAAAAAGTCACCTTCCTAAGGCCTGATGGATATTTTTCATTGTATCCTATCGTACTTGTCTCTTTACTCTGCAATCTGCATATTGTGATTCAATATGATAGTGTCGATAACTGTAACTAAGCCAATTACTAAATTTCTGAAAGAAGTGACAACTGTTGAACAATAGACTTAATGTTGTCCTTAAACTATTTTTCAAGCCATAATGTGCCAGCAGGAACTCATCTCATTGAAGTGGCTGCTATCGGCTTTTTCTTTTCTCCAGTGAGTTTGGATTTTCTATTTGTTATTTAGTTGGTTAATTGTCAAAAAAGAAAAAGAAAAATGGATATGATTGGCGCTATCTTTCTCCTTTCTTATGTTTTTTGCAGGTCCGAGTTGACGTGAGTGCAAGAAATCCTGGTAAGGTCCAAGCAGCTTTAACGGAAAACAGGAGAGTACTTAGCGAGCTTGTCTTAGAGCCATTGAGAGAGGAACAGTATTATGAGGTATGTCGGTGCTTCTAGGTCAAACTTTTCAGTCTTTCTTTTTCCTTTCTGGGGCAACTATTCATTCTGAAATGTATGTGTGTGCTTATTACTCTACGTTGATTTTCAGATACGAGAACCTTTCTCGGTTATGTCCATCGTGAAAAGCCCTATGGGCTTGATGATTGGATTTATGGTAATTGTGGTGTTTTTGATGCCGAAACTAGTGGGTAAGTAATGTCGGTTTTATTTATTTTTGCCTTCTGATTTTGTTGGAGCAGCTACTGTGAATTGTTTCTTTTTCAATCTATAGCATTTTGTTTTTTCCTTTGTTTTTTTATATTCAATAACTCTCACCAGCTACCCAGGATAATCTATGACTGTTTGGTAGACAAATAAGCTAGCTTATAACTTATTTGGTTAGCTCATAAGCTCTCTATATTCAAATAAGCTCCGTTCGGTAGGAGAAGCTTATTTAAAAAACTCGAGTTTATTTGATAAGCTTCTTTGGGTAGCTTTTCAAATAAGCTCGTTGAAATTTTTATTTCAGCTAGCTTATCAACTAATTTTACCAAACACTTATCAACTAGTTTTACCAAACATGGCCTATATATCCTGAAAGAACTTTTTTTCTAACAGCATATGAATGTTGCTCTCTTTCCCCCTTCTGTGTTACTCATCTGTTTTTGGGAAAACATGCAGATGCCGAAGAATTAAAACGAGCCCAAGAGGAAATGGGCAACCAAGGTGTTCCTTCAATTGCAAACTTTTTAGCTGGAGCACAGAGGCCGAATTAGAAAGGTTTTCCGGTTGAGGAAATTTGGATATGCGGTGTTTGTGGTTTATGCCAGAAATGGAAATACGTTTCATAGGAGTTCTGTGTTACTCAGCAACAGAAGAAAAAATGTGTTTGTGGTTATTAGTAAGAATTGTTGGCTGCATGAGGACTTCTCTTTCAGTAGCTTTCCTCCACATAAAAGGACCATTATTTTGCCTCTAATTTCTTGCACAAATTCTTGTATGAGAGTTGTGACGACCTAACGGTTGATTCGTCATATTTTTTGTTAAAACAAAAATACATATTCATTCTATAAAATGTCGTATATTTGCTCATCTTGTTTTAGATTGAAAATATACATATCTATCGCAAAAGTATAATTAGAGAATATTCATATTTGCATAGCATATGTCTACCTCGTTATTGCCCAACTCAATGTAGTTATCATGTCACTATTGTGAGGCATGCTTCGGACATTGGGCTTGTTTGACAATTAGCGGTTAGCAGTTTTTGTCAGCTATTTTAACCATCGAATTGTGTCAATTGTTCTAACCGTCGTAGTGCATTTGTGGTTTATAAAATTATGTTTGGTTAGACAATTTTCCTTTTATTAATTACTTATACCATATTAATATACTTTAAGATTTTTCTAAAAGTATGTTTGGTTAGACCATTTGCTTATTATTAATTACTAATATTTTAATTACTTATACCATATTAATATACTTTAAGATTTTTCTAAACAACTGTAATTATAAGTACTTTAAATGCCAAATCATTTATAATTTTTAATACTTAATAGAATAATAATAATAATAATATAACTTACATATAACAAATTAGCTTTCTCTTTCTTTTTTTTCGTAATATAAAGCTTATTAAAATTGTCAACAATGTTTTGCTGGGTTAACTCGCTTGGGATAAGTATTCCACCAAACAAAAGAGCGCTAATTAACGACTTTAGTGCAATTCCAAGAACCTGATGGAATTGGAAACTACTGTACATAAAGGAACCGGAGACACCCTCCGTCTTCCTCCAGTACGATTAATTTACGCCACGAACAGAAAAAAAAGAAAGAAAAAAAAAAGAACCTCTCCTCAAATTCAATGAAAATAAAATACACACAGCTCTGCTGAATCTCTCTATAGAGGAAGAAAGGTCGAGGCTTTGACCCCAATTTCCATGGCGGCTCTATTGGGGTGGTACAAGCCATTGCAGCCTCGCCTCTCACTCTTCTACAAAACCTTCACTCCTAAACCTGCCCACCCACGAACCAATTTCCGCTTTCGCACGATTTGCGCTATCAATTGCAGCGGTAAATCTCAGCCTCTCACGACTTTCTGTGAAGATAATCGCAAGGGTACTTTGTCCGGCGATGGCGATGTTTTTGGTAATGGTTCTGGAGAAATAAAGCCGGAGCTCTGGCTGTACAACACGATGAGCAGGCAGAAGGAGTTGTTTAAGCCGAAATTCAAAGGGAAAGTAGGAATGTACGTGTGTGGCATCACCGCATATGATTTTAGCCACATCGGCCACGCCCGGGTTTACGTTGCTTTCGACGTGCTATACTGGTATATTTTCCATTATCATTTGCTGTGTGTAATTTGAATTGTGGTTATGTCTGTGTCTTTGAGAAGGCTTGTTGGTATGGCTCATATATTGACAAAGAAAGGAGGCAGGTTGATGCCTGCGAGCGTAGTGGAGCGAGCGTAGCGAGGGAAGCGGAGCGATCGAGTGAAGCGAGCGGAACAGAGGCATATTGCTGTGGACGATGTATTGATGTATTTGAGACTATTGAGAATAATAAAGATCCCTCAGCCGCCGTGGACGTAGGCATATTGCCGAACCACGTAAATCTTGTGTTGTTTACTTTCTCGTTTTTAATTCGTATGCCATATTGTCATCTTCTCGCAACAAGACTTGATTTTCACGATGATTATTTGTTCTTAGAACTTTGTGTGGTTGCTGTTTTGTCATCTTCCTAGCTTAGCTATTTAACATATGCCCGGTGGTGGTGTTATAACTAATTGCATTTTTTCTTGATGCACTTCCTTTCTAATTAGGCAGATACCTCAAGTACTTGGGATATGAGGTCAACTACGGCCGCAATTTCACTGATGTTGATGACAAGGTGGGTTGAGAGTTGAAAATGTTTCTTCTAATGCTTACGGCTCGAATATCTTTATGTTATATATATATATATTTATTTATTATTTTTTTTTTTTTGTATATGTTAGGTGGAGCCATAATATTCTTTCATTGCTCATCTGCTAGATACTCGATAATGGTTGTGCATACACAATCGATGGCGACGTTTACTTCTCGGTGGACGAATTCCATGACTATGGTCGATTGTCTGGCCGTAAATTAGATGATAATAGGGCGGGTGAACGGGTGGCTGTGGACTCGAGGAAGAAAAATCCTGCGGATTTTGCTTTATGGAAGGTGGATCCTTGTTCGTAACTAATTAACAATTAACATACTTTAGCATTTCTCAGATGAATATATTTTTTTTTTTTAACAAATTTCAATGGCTTTAGTGGAATGACATCCGTATGCTGCAATCATGTGGGCTTTCCTATATAGTAAAATGAAAGTAGGCAAGTCTTAGCACAATCCAGAGGAAATAAGCAATCTGGTTTATTTCAGGTTTGAGGAATATTTTTTGCTCATTTTGCAGTCGGCAAAGGAGGGAGAACCATATTGGGAGAGTCCATGGGGTTCTGGAAGGCCTGGATGGCATATCGAGTGCAGTGCCATGAGTGCAGCTTACTTAGGTTTCACTTTCGACATACATGGTGGTGGAATGGATCTTGTTTTCCCCCATCATGAGAATGAGATTGCACAAAGCTGTGCCGTATGTCAAGAAAGTAGTGTGACTTATTGGGTGCACAATGGATTTGTGACCATTGATTCTGAGATGTCAAAGTCTCTTGGAAACTTTTTCACCATCCGAGAGGTACAAAGATGATTAATGATTTTAAAATCTCTACCTCGATTACCCATGGATGGTTTATGCTTCTTACAGCAGCCTGGTCACTTATTTATTGATTTATATAATTCAGGTTATTGAACTTTACCATCCACTGGCTTTGAGGCTTTTTCTTATGGGAACTCATTATAGGTCCCCACTAAGTTACTCAGAGCTGCAGCTCGAAAGTGTGTCAGACCGACTTTTCTATATATATCAGGTCAGTAACTCTTCAACCCATGATTATGACATGAATAAAATTCTATTTTCCTGTTCCAGTTTGTGCCCATCTCATTATTTTCCCAGCTATATGTCATCACTTTTTCTGTATATGTGATGAAGACCTGTAATTTTATGACATATCCTTCACATTTTAGTTTAGTTTCTGTCTGATCATTATAACATAATTGCTCTTATGCCTGTGATTTCGGTTTAACTTTATGTCTTTAAATGTGATAGAGTGAAGGGTTGGTCTTTATCAAAATGGCTAGTCCTTACTTGAAGGAACTCCTCTGCTCAGGATATGGCACCCTATTTTGATGGTTTCCAAAGCGAAAAGAGCAGACTCTTGAATTATCTTGAGAAAATATAGGATTTGAAAATGACTTTATTGGGAAACCCATTGTTTATTCAAATTGCCACTATTGCATTCATGCTGCCGAAACCTACATGTTCTGCAAATTATCTTGCACAAACTATCATTGGGTGTACTTAAAATGGCTTTCGTTTGTAAAAATCATTTACATTTGTTACTTCTTGGGTGCAGACGCTTCACGATTGTGAGAGTATTGTGACCCAGCATAATGCTGCTATTCTGAAGGATATCATATTAGCTGGAACTGCAACTTGTATCAATAAATTTCATGATGAATGTTTAACGTCAATGTTGAATGATCTTCATACTCCTGTTGCTTTGGCTGCAATGTCTGAACCACTGAAAATCATAAACGATCTTTTACATACTCGGAAGGTATTTTTGGGTTTCAGTTGATCCGTGAGCAATTATAATAATGTTTTACATTCGTTTACTCGGTGAACAAACTTGCTGGATGATTGGATCTCAATCCTTGCACTCAAGTTTAAATAAGTTGGTATTGGTGCATGAATACACATCTGCAGTATCTCACTACTGAAAAAAACCGTTTTCTTACATATCTTACTTAACTACGCTTTTGCACCACTTGATGTGCGTTCCATTTGTCAGATTTAAATGGTAGAACCTTTTGGGTTATGCAGCATAATACATATAATTGATCTGTCAAAAGTGGGCGCAATTCTGGACTTTCATTATGATCGGAGTATTTCTTTGTGCAGGGAAAGAAGCAAGAGTTGAGAGTTGAATCACTGGCATCTTTAGGAAGTACGATTAGAAATATTATTACTATTGTGGGGCTATCACCGGATAGCTATTCCGAGGTATGATTGGTTATTTCTCTTTTTATAGCTCAAATGACATTACATCAGATCATTTCCCACTCTTCGAAAAGTTAGAATTTCTTGGTTTCAATAAATATTTGAAAAATTAAATTGATTAAACTGATAAAACCTGCTAATTTGGCTTTCGGATATACACGTGATATAGGCATTGAATCAACTTAGAGATTATACACTGAAACGTGCCAAGTTGTCTGAAGATGAAGTAACACAGAAAATTGGAGAAAGGGATGTTGCAAGAAAAAATAAAGAATATGAAAAATCTGATGCAATTCGAAAGGAATTAGCAGCCGTAGGGATTGCACTCATGGACAGCCCAGATGGCACAACTTGGAGACCGGCTATTCCCCTTGCTTTACTAGAGCTGCAGCTTGCAGCAAGTTGATTTCGGAACGTGGCATCACTTATGATACTAAATTTCCACAAGCAGCTTCGTATGTTCCGGGTTTTAAACAATATTATCTAGTCTGGAGATATAAACATGGAAGAACCTTATTTATCAGGGGGTGTAAAAAATACATTGGTGCAATTTTGCCTAATAAGTTCGTAAACTGCTTTATTTGGACACACGCTTCATCATTTACCATTCAGCAGCATTGTTTGGCTGGGTAAATCGCCATTTTCTGCTGTTAGATGGTACTTTTTTTCTCCCCATCTCCACTGTAATCTGCATTCCCAATTTGCTTAACAATTTGTTTGATTTATCACTGTCTTGTTAGTGTTGGCATTTCCAATTAAAAGGCCAACTTGAGTTGTTGTGCGGTTATCTAGGTTGATCAATACCATTGTGATTCCTACCTGTAGCATTTGTTCTGGAAATAAGTTACTTTTTTTAAGGAAAAAAGAAAGCATTCTAATTTCATTTTAAGTTTCAAATGATTTCTCTACTCACTGAATGTTTTGAACAGTGTGCATATGCGCATATCTCGCCCGTCCCGTTAAAGCTCGTCGATAAAATGTTTCTTCACATCAGTCAGTGCCAAAGAAGTGCAGTGCACAAATTCATAAATCCAAGTTCGTTTTCTATAACTTTATTACACATTATATGTCGGACAGCTACTATAGTATTATATTGAAAGCTACATATAGTAATCAGGTTCGGGACATAAGTGTTATAAGCTCTGTCTGCAGTACGTTTGGTGTCGTGAGAAGATGATATCCCCAGCTGATCAACATACATTTTTTTCATTATCAAGATAAGATCAGTCATTTATGACTTAAAGGTCTGTGCTTCACCATCAAGGTAGGAAGGGTTCAATGTCTTCTGTAACTGTCGACACCTTGAAAAAAAAGTTTAAAATAAAGCTTCATGGATCATTTTTGTGTTTAAGTATGATACTTTTGAAAAAAAAGTTTAAAATAAAGCTTCATGGATCATTTTTGTGTTTAAGTATGATACTTTTTTCAAGATTCAGAGGTGACATTTGTTAAATATAAAGGAATTACCTGGGCCAAGGTTGTGAATGTGATGTGTAACCACTTTTGAAGAGAGCTTGATGCTCCATTCTCAGAATTTTGAAACCATGTTTCTCTTATAATGGTATGCAAATAGCACATCACATTTTGCAAATTAAATATATATAAGTTCCATCACTTCTATTCCACACATAACCAGACAAACTCGAAATCATGCCTCGTTATAACATCACTGTGTATCTATTATGTGACAGAAATGGAGAATGCATATTGCTGACTAGTTGTGGTCTCAGCCAAAATTTTGGCTTTAATCCTCTGCAGTGCAGCTGCTGCTTCTATCATGTCAATCCTTTCGTTCGGCAAAACTGGTAAACATTTCATCGCCAAATGTAAAATAGATGAGACACATTCTTCTGTTGCACTTGTTGCACTAAGATGTTGATCTGTACTTGCTAGCAAATTAGGGACCACGACTTCTGCAACTGCATTTTGTCGTAATGCTTCACATACCCACTCTTTTAAGCTTATTTCTTCATTGAAAATATCATCAGTCGGTTTCTTCCTCGTAAACATTTCCAACAGAAGTATGCCAAAGCTATAAACATCTGCACTTGTTGAAACTTTGCCTTCCGATCCATACTCTAGTTGTATCACAAGCACGGATTAGTGTTTTTTTTGGAATAAATAGATGACGTCATGAATGATTTTTAATGTTGGAAGGTTGTTATGATGTTTTATTAATTAAAATAATTATGAAAAAAAAACGGCTTCTGATTAACCCACAATGTAAAATTTAACTGAAAAATGAAAAAAGAAAAAAAGAGCAAAAAAAGTTTTAGAAAAGATCAGGAAATCACCTGGTGCTGCATAACCTATGGTCGCCAAGGTTTTGGTATGAACCATAGTCTCACCATCATCGAAGAGTTTGGCTATCCCAAAATCAGCAAGGTGAGCTACCATATCCTCATCGAGCAAAACGTTACTTGGCTTTATATCACAATGAACGACAGGGAATGTATGGCCATGATGGAGATATTCCAAGGCTGATGCAACATCTATTGCTATTTGCAGCCTCTGCATCAAATCCAACCAACAATTCTCCGAATACAACCATTTCTCGAGGCTGCCATTTGGCATGTACCCGAGAACCAAAGCTTTGAATTCCGTGTTGCTACAACAACCAATTATTTGGACCAAGTTTCTGTGGCGAATGCTGCTAAGTATTTCACATTCGGTATCAAAACTGCGAATGGCTCTTTCTAACTGCGAGTTGAAGACTTTCACCGCAACATTTAGCCCATCAGAAAGGACTCCTTTGTAAACCGAACCAAAGCTTCCATTTCCAAGCATGGTTGTTTCGCTAAAACCATCTGTTCCCCTTTCGAGTTCTCTATATGAAATTCTTCTCCAAATAATAGCACCCAGTGAAACATCAGTAGAAGAAGAAGGTCCTCCCTTTTGTTTTTGTCTTCTCACCAACACAACTAGCACGATGATTGTTATTATGATAGCTAGAAAGAATGGAGGCAAAGTATACTTCAATAACCTCTCAACTTTCTTTCGTCTTGATTTTCTGATATTATTATTCTCAATGCAGGGAGGCACTTGAAATCTTTGATCTCCACAAAGAGCAGAGTTGTGAAGAAAAGATCGAGCACTGAAGTTAACAAAAGGGCCACCTGTGGGAATCATTCCCTCCAGCTCATTGTAAGACACGTTAAAGTATTCAAGTGTTTCGAGGCCTCGTAAAGACTCTGGTATCAGTCCTGAAAGGTTATTATTAGATAGATCCAACACGCTCAAGGCTCTGATGTTACCCAGTGATGGAGGAATGGATCTTTCAAATCTGTTGTCCGACAAATCTAAGATCGTTAGTGATTGACAACCATCAATTAATCCTGGAATTTCCCCTGAGAATCGATTATGTGACAAGTCTAATACATTGAGTTGCTTCAAACTTGAAATCTCGTAAGAAACTTGACCACTCAAATGGTTTGAGGACAAATTGAGAAACAAGAGGTCCCGTAAGTTCCAGAAATCGAGAGGTATGCTGGAATTTAGCTGGTTTGAACCTAAGTAGATTTGTCTTAGCGATCTGAGGTCTCCCAAGCATTCAGGTATGGGACCCGTGAGATTATTTTCGTATAGGTACAAGTCGCCTATATTACTCAGTCTGCAAATGTCTCGAGGGATTAACCCACTCAGTTGATTACCATGAAGATCCAATGCTTGAAGTTGATTTAAGTTCCCCACTGTTGGTGGGATTATTCCTGTGATTGCATTTCCTGATAAATCTATTAATCGCAAACCAGTCAAGTTTCCGATTGTAGAAGGAATAACTCCGTTAATGTTGCAGTCATCTGCCCAGAAATTTGTGAGAGATTTGGATAAATTTCCAATGGAAACAGGAAGGGTGCCGTTAAGTGGGTTATCGTAAATTGCTAATTGCTCCAAAAACCGGCAGTTAGCTAATGAAGAGATAAATTCAAGTTCATGATTCGGAGATTCAGCTCCTCTCAGAGAATTACCCCAAAAGATAAGCATACGTAAGAGCCTCAAGCTGCCGAAGTTGGGTATGGAGCCAGTGAATGAGTTACCTTGCAAATGCAACTCTTGCAGATTAGAAGCATTGGTGATACAAATGGGAATCTCCCCAGTGAGTTCATTTCTCGACAAGTACAAACTTTCGAGGTTCGAAAGGGAGAGCTCGGGAGAGAGTGCAAGAGTCCCGGAGAAACGATTAAACGAAAGGTACAACTCCTTCAAAGTTGATATGTTGAAGATCGATGGAGGGATCGAACCCGACAGTTGATTTATTTGCACGCTTAAGTACTCGAGGAACGGCAAATTCTTTAGCTCTTCTGGTAAACTACCTGTCAAATTGTTGTTATCAAGGATTATTTGCTTCAAAGAAGTGCAGTTTCCAATTTGCTTTGGTATAGGACCTGTAAAATAATTTCAAAAAAAAAAAAGAATAATAATAATAATTAATAAAATAGTAGAAATAATCATAAACCAGATTATTAAACATATTAACAAATTAACAAAAAAGGATAATGGAATGTTAATTTCCTGTGAGAGAAGCATTGCGGATGTCTAATATCTCTAGCCGTGAAAGATTTGCCACTTCTGGTGGAATTCCTCCTGAAATTTTAATTAGAAAATAACATATATGGTTACATAACTAGCCAATAAATAACTATTTATATTCTTTTGTAATTCTTTTAAAGAAGAAAATTTTTAAATTTTAATATTATGCTGACCATGCCTTGTATCATGGAATTATTAATCAAGTATTCGTAAAAAATAAAATTGTAAAATTAAATGTAAAAAATGTTTTGATCTATATTTTATAAATTGGGACCAAGTTTGGAAATTTTAGTATAAACAAATAGCCATCAGTCTAAACATTTTGTCAATTATTGGCTATCAAAAAATAATTAAAATATTCATTGCATATTATTTAACAAATTATATAACATTAATATGAGTAGATTAATTAATAACTTACCATCAATAGTAATTAAAAGAAAATCATAAGAAGTTTAAATTTTCGAAATAATATATGTACAATAAATGATGAACAATAAATATTAAATTGGTTTATCTCGTATCTATTTATATCAAAATTCACTCATGTAAAACCTTACTTCTCAACTTATTATACAGTAATCCATTGAATAAAAATACTATAACACGTATCTTTATCTAATTGCAACAAATTATGTTTATTAAAAAATAAAAATCGAATTGCATAGAAATCGGGCCTAATTTCAAATTGAAAGGTAAAATTTAAAAATCTCATATCATTTGGCTACTACTTTCTTTAGTTCGGATTTTTTTTTAAAACATAAAACAGAGTCCGATAATATTAATTAGAAATTCAAAATGAAATCGGATTGGAACATCCTAAAAATTTGAGTTTTGTTTAGTCCTATAGAATACAAATTTGAAATTGATTGGATACACGTACACAATTTTTTTCTTCATTAAATTAACGAATTTATAAATTTAAAATAATAAGACTATAGACTACCAAGAAAGAAGTTTTCCAATCTCCGTTATATTTGGCTATTCACTCTTCACAAAACCAGTATAAATTATATCATATATATCCTGCCAAATAATTTAATTTATTTATAAATCATATCATATACATAGGTGTCAAGTGTATTTTTTTCAATACGGTTTACACAGATGTATGTTGTTTTCTGTTTAATAATATATAAGTTACATTTTGTTCTATTGTGCATTTTACGTTCTTTCAATCATCTAAATATAAATGCTTACATTAATAAAATTAGCTCGTGCACCGCATGGGTACCGCACTCTTTTGAAGAATAGTATTCAATATTTTTTTTTTTTTGAAAGGCATAAATATAAAGACCGACATTCTTAAAATTTTTATTACCTTTTGAATTGAGACTTTATAAATATAGAGACTGAGATTTTAATGTTCTTCGTTGTTTCTATAAAAAAAATAAAAATAAAAAAAGCACACTTAATAGATCTTAGCTGGAATTTTAAATAATAAAATGAATTAAATCCCAAAATTTAATGCAACATTTAATGTTGTATGATTTTTTGAAGATAAAAATAAAAAAGTAATAAAACTTACTTATTATAGGTTAACTTAAATTCTCTCCTATTTTTTGCTACTATTTTTGTTAAATGGTAATTCTTATTATATATATGGAGAATGCTACTATCCCGTTTCGGGATGGTTCCGTTGTAATTTTTTAAGTGTAGATTATATACACATTACTAGATTACATGTATATTTGCGGCTACAAAAGACAACGAAGGATGGTAGCATTCCACGTTAGTTATATACCTTCTAATTTGTTAGACCCCACATCTAAAACCCTCATGTCTTGCAAGCCGAACAACTCTTGGGGTATGCCGCCTGTAAAAGTACTCACAAATCAGTTAATACAATCGACCAAATATTAAAGCAAGACAATCAGTTTGTATTTTGGGCACATGAAAGTTGAATAATGAATATTACTCATCTGCTAAACAAGGACACACACACACACACACACACACACACACACACACACACACACACACAAACATAAATATGTAGAGATTAGTTTACCTGTCAAGTGGTTATCATACATGGTTATTTGCTTCAACGAATTGCACTCTCCAATTTTCTTTGGTATTAGACCTGTAATCAATTTCAACATCAACATATGTTTGTTTCCTTACCATCAACATGTATATATATATGTGTGTGTTGTGTACCTTGAAACTTGTTAGAGCCCAGATACAAGATCTCGAGCATCCTCAAGCTTGCAATTTCACTAGGAATTTCACCATCAAAACGGTTACGCGTTAGCCACAAGATCTGAAGCTCTCTGCACTTGCCTATGTTCGTCGGAATCGGACCCTCCATTTGATTTCCTCTGAGCGCAAGCATCTTAAGGTTCGGGAGATTTTCGCACATATCACTCGGGAGCCTACCCGACAATTGGTTTGACTTTATATCGATTGCTATAATAGAGGACAAGTTGAAGATCCCGTATGGAATAGAGCCCGTCAAACGGTTGTGGCTCATATCTAATATTTGGAGGGACGAACAATTTCCAATCTCGTCCGGGATTCTGCCCGTGAACGTGTTGTTATTCAGACGCATGATCTCGAGCCGAGTTAATGCTCCGAACGAGCTCGGTATTTGTCCTGAAAACGAGTTGAATCCAATATCTATAGACCTCAGGCGGCGCAGACGAGACAGCTCGTCGGGTATTTGTCCGGTGAAATTATTGGAACTAATGTCTAAGTACCTTAAAAACGTCAAGTTTCCGAGATGTGGGGAGAGAGTTCCTTGGAGGGCAAAACCGGAAATGTTGAGGCCCGTGACCCGGTTATTGTGTTTGGTGCTGCAAGAGACACCAATCCATTGACAAACGGAAGAGGAAGAAGTGTCGATAGACCAGTTTGTTGTTAAGAGACGGTAAGGGTCGGAAGTGATGGAAGATTTGAATCGGAAAAGGGCGTTTTGGTCGGTTGTGGAGTTGAGGAGTGGAGTTGCGCGGGCTAAGGAAGTGGTGCCGAGTATTATTAGCAGAGCTGAGAAGATGATGAAGAAAGCAATATTCTGATTCTGATTCTCCATCTTTCATTTGTTGAATCTTTCTCCTCTTGTTGAGGGGTGTGTGAATGATAAAAGTTTGCATTTTGTAAGTAAATTGCTAGGACAAAAGCTTTGACCGGGCATCATTAAAAACTCGGCCCATTTTAGAAAGGGTCCATTCCATAGACTTTTGTAGTGTAGAACCAATTACAAGACCCGGACGACTTTGAAATCAATTCTTGTTGGCATTAGTCAATCAGCCGGTCCACGGTATATTTTTATTATCGTATCATTTTTGGTGGTGATGATTCTGAGTTATGGGTCAAGTGCAGTATAGGGATTCTGCAGGGGCTTGAGTGAGCTCGTTTCCCGGTTGCCGTCGAGCATATGGAAAACGACGTGCAACGATGGTTTTTTTGATTTGTATCTTTTACTGTTTTACAAGAGCAGAGCACACAGATTTAATTACAGTAAACACTTGCACTACTCTATTTACATTGCATTGCTACTGCATTGAAGTCTTAATTTTTCTAGTGTTGGAAGAATGAATGATAATTTGTGGTCCCTCCTCTGCTCTGCATGCAAAAGTCTTGTTCTATAGGCAAATATGAAAGCGAAGAGTTGAAAGCTATGCTGAATAAGTTGGTTGCAAGTATGAAAGCAACGGGAATCGTGGTTTGGTTATGACGACATCAATTTTTATTTTTATTATTTAAATTTTATAGTGATAATATATATAGCATGCCTCTTGGCGTTTACGGCTTTTCTTTTCCCACTTGCAATTTTTTTTTTTATTTATCTTTTTTTTTTTTCTTACGAAGTTGATGAAGATTGGATGATTTCACTTTTTCTCATTTATATGTTTTTATTTTATTTTTTTATATTATTTTTGGAAATTCAAGTTGTTAATTGTTGTTTTATGAATGCACTCATTTTTATTTTCTTTTCCTTTTGGTTAATTTGATGTGCCTCACCGAAATTTCCAGTTGAATTGCCTTATCTCGAACGTTTCGTACCACAAATCGCATTAATCTGTCAAACAACGTGTGGGAATTAACCTGCCAAACAACGTGTGGGTGAACTCCTACGTGGACACTCTTAAGCTCAAGTTAACAAATAAAATGTATCCTCAAAGTTTTATAATTGAGATAACTTATGTAGAGCGTAAGTTTAAAAAGTAAACCTGAATAAGATATTTAATTACTTATTTTCCAAGACAAGAGTTTCTCTAATAACTAAAGAATCCAACCTTCCAGATCAAGGAGTAAATATACTCAAATTTACTTGGATATTTCTTTAGGAATGACCCTGTAGACATCAAAATTTTAATATTTCATTAATTAATGTCTTTATTTTACTACTTTTATATCATATCAACTTCAATCATTACGTTTTATCTCATATCCGTTCACAAGCTCAAATTAAGACATTATTCCACTCAATTTGTTTTTTCCAATCTTAATTCGCTTTAGTCAATCATTCAAAATTAACCCAAAAAATCTAAAATTTCTTAAGATTTGAGTTACATTTTCTAGATTTTTAGAATTCGAGATATTTAAAAAATTTGTTGTATAGTAAAATCTTTCAATTGAGATTTCTAAAGACTTTTAAAAAATTATTAAGACTTCAGAAATCTTGCTGCATTTGAGATTCCAAATTAAATACAACAGGATTTCTAAAGTCTTAATAAGTTTTTAAAGTCTTTGAGCTATCTATTTGGAATTTTAAAAAGTCTTACAAAATCATGAAATATTTAACTTATTTGAGACTAGGATTTGTTAAGACATTTTTTAGATTTGCTAGATTTCGAAAGAAAAAAAAAACATATATGAAATTTCACTCCAATTCCCACCTATAGACTTAAGATTTCACATAATTCCTCAAAATTCAAAAATATTAAATCTCAAATCTCAAAAAGTCTGTTTGATATAGGATATTAGGGATGAGCTTGGGTCGGTACAGTTCGCAGATTGATAAATCCCCAGAACCGTACCAAACTTCGGAGATCCGAGAATTCGATCTCCGTCACCGTACCAAAAAGTCGGTTCGGTTCAAAAAGTTTTATTTTTTGGTTCGGTTCGGTATTCGGGATTATTGGAACGGTTCGGTTCGGTATGGTTTGGTTCGGATCTTCGGAGATTTTTTATGACTACCTAGTTATATTTTATTTTTTATATGCTTTAAAAAACAACATTCATCAATAATTCATCATATTGAAGATTTTATTTTGAAATCAATTCTAGAAGTAACTCTAAATTTTAGTTATATAATTTTTATATGCTTTAATAAAACCAACATTAATCAGTATTTCCCCACATTAAAGATTTTATTTTAAAATCAACTTTATAAGTAACTCTAAATTTTAGTTATATCTAAATTTGTGCAACTAATATTGAAAATTTAAAATTCAAATAAAATATAATATTTTTTTCTAAAAAATATTATTTAAATTTTCTGTATTTTTTAAAAATTATTTTATAATAGAAAAATTCAATTGTAGATCAAGTATAACTAAACATGAAATTTAAGTGAAGGTTAATATTTATTACTATATTATATAGAATTAAAGTTGACATCAAATATATTAATAATACATCTAATGTTATAATTCGTTCTTCGGTTTGGTACAATACGGGACGGTTCGGTTCTCAGTACGGATATTTGTGAAATCTCCAGAACTGTACCAATTATTTTTTCGGTTCGGTTCAGTTCGAAGAAAGTCAAACGGTCAACGGTTATTTTACGGTTCGGAGTGATTTCAGTTCGGTTTTTAGAACGGTTCAAAATTCTCCGAGTTTTATGCTCAGCCTTATAGGATATAGTACCGGCTCAAACCTCCCAATGAAACCAAGAAACCATACTGGATTAATGAAGCAGCTCGACTCTCGTCGACCTGAAAGTGATAGACAAACCAACAATGGTCTACTGAGAAGAGAGCGCAACTAGTAGATAAGCCCACAGTCGACTCGGCCTCAGAAGATCAGGAGGTCGAGTCGACCACGTTCTACTTAACTGATAGGTGAAATGGAGAGGACCACGTTCTACCAAAACTGACGTTCTATCTGATGATGTGGACTTGATTTCATAGGGGGATAACAAAGGCATTTAATCAGAAAACCACGAGGATTGGACCACGTGCCTTGATAAGATTTGATCATCTGTACCCCTTAAACCTAACAGTATGAGGCGCTGCAAGTCGTACAGATGGGTAGCAGGGGCAGTCGGGTCAACTCTATGGGAAGACTTGGGGAACAAGACACCACCCTCCTATATAAAAGGGTGTGGTAGGTTAGTTTGGAGATTACATTCTCTATACACTCACTTTACATACGAGATTACTGTCCATTATCCTCATTCTCATGCTTACTTAAATATCGGAGGTTCTGTGCCAGAACCCCCCCCCCCCTCTCCAGCGACGAGTTCTTGTAGGTTAGAGGCCATTCGAGGTAGAATAAGACATAACTCATTGTAGCAGTTTGAGTAGAGACCGAGTGGAGCCAATTTCACTATTACTCTAAATGTCACTCTAAATCTCAAATGAATACACTCCCTTTAAGTCTAAAAGTGAGATTTGTGGTAAGATTTTGGGATCAGGGTCATTGGCCTGGAGTGTGTTCGGGGTTTTAGGTTTCGACATCAGTTAGGCATGTTTGGCAGTTTTTGGAGCAGCTACTCGGGCTGCGGTCCGGTCGTGGTTCCACCGTCGAGTTATTATTGGTGTGGTTTGCCTGTTGTGGGAAGGGCCTTAGTTTATATTAGTATTAGTTGTTTTTGTCTGTGTGTTGTGTGTTTAGGCTTTGTGTTTTGGGTTTTGTGTTTTCTGCCGCTTGGGAGCGTTCGTGTACTGGGGGGAAGCAAGTATTTTAAATCTTTTTGGGCTAGAATTACTTTTGCAAAAAAAAAAAAAAAAAAAAGAATTGCATATTTATATACAATATATGATAAAAATTTTTTTTACCTGTTTTATTGCATTCCAACGAACTTTTAGTTCGCTTTATTTCTCGTCTACAACTTCTTTATCCTCCATAAAATTAAGAAAAGTTAAACCAAAATAATTAAATTTATTATTTTGTTTTGTGATGAAGTTAAATATTTTTTAAATAAAAGACATCAAATCCAATTCTTGAAGATTTAAAAGGCCGCTCAGAATTCTCATTAAAAATTACTCGATTACTTTCAACATTATTTGTCGCCGTTGATAAAGCCCCAGACGATGAAAAATCATCATTTTTTGTCTTAAAAACGAGAGAATATTTGTTTTTTTTTTCTTAATTTAAAATTGGAATACCTGATGAAAAGAGATACTAAGACCAAACCACAAAATCATCATGATATATTGTAGAAAAAAAAAAAATTAAGAAAAATAACTTGTTGTGAATACCTACAACCCACAAATTATAAAAACTGAAGTAATTTATTAAGCATGATTAATTCACTAAACATGATAATTTACTAAAAATTATAAAAACTAAAGAAACAAATATGAGTAAACCAAGAAACTTCAAGTATTTTTTTTTTGTCTCCAATTACTTTGTTGAAAAGAAAGATGAATATAATTGGATGATTAGTTCCTAAACAATGAACATAATTAAATGATGTTAAATTAATTGAGGAATTTGCACCACATACTGTCAAATATATTTTATATTACATGTTTACACTTAATTAATATTTATTTGCAAATATACAAGATTTATCCAACATAATTGCATATATACTGGAATTCAGATTTACTTACCCTTTAATTAGGGAAGGGGACAGATTACACGAGACTTTAACTCTCCTTCTATTCACTCACATCCCTCTCTATTCTTTTCTTTTCTTTTCTTTTTTTTTTCTTCTTCTTCTTTTTATTCGACCAATTTTGTTCTGGCTTTGCGGTACATTTTGAAATCCGTACTCAATTTTGTTAGGGTTTTTGGTTAGGGAGATGGAACCAGCGTTCACTTTTGAATCGGAGGGCCTTCGATTTTGAATCGTTCGTTTGTAGAGAGATTTTTGCAGTGTTCGATAGCCCATATTTTTGGATCGAGGTGACAATCTATTTCCATTCGGCGAAACACGCCGGCGCGGGCCTTCTTCTTCAAGGATTTTCGGCGTCTGAGGTCGGTGGGGCAGTGGAGTTTCTCGATCGGAACCCTAATTCAGCCTTCGGCCAGTACTTGAAATTAGTCCACCCGATTGAGTTATTGCTTAGGTGCAGCCGGGCATCAAAACGGTGTCTTACGGAGGTTTTATGGGTAACGCATTTGGAAAGTACGTCAGGATATTGATTCAGCTGTGTGTATTGATCAACAATGTTGGTGTTCTTGTGGTGCACATGATATAATTGGTACCCTTTCGAGTTGATTGATGTTTTTTGTTTTAAATGTATCAATGTGAATAATTTTCTGTCAAATATGTATCTCTATGTCTGTATATTTGAGTTAATCATGGGGTATTGATTAACTTATGGAAATTTTTGTCGGTTGTTACAAAGGACAGTTGTGATTTGTATCAAAGAACAATATATGTCCACACCAATATATATTGCATGTAGGCAGTATATGTTGTGTATATATGAAGTAACTGTAGCTCAACTGTGTCATACAATTGTATTCTTATATATTCAGTATATTTTCAGTATATATTGTATTTTCAACTATTTCTTAGTTGTTGTATATGTCAAGTATAAATGATGATATATACTTGGCATTTTCGTAACGTGTATCATCATATATACTTGACATATACTTTCAAATTTGGATTTATGTATTCAGATTGGGATTGCATATATTCGGTATATTTTCAATATATGTTGTATTTTCAACTATTTCTTAGTTGTTGTATATGTCAAGTATATATGATGATACACAAATCTCAATTTGAAAGTATATGTTAAGTATATATGATGATACACGTTATAAAAATGTCAAGTATATATCATGTTATAATGCTTGTACATTAAACACATTTCACAATTTATCTCTAAATATCATACGTCAAGTAACTGTAGCTCAACTGTGTCATACAACTATTTTTGTATATATTCAGTATATTTTCAGTATATGTTGTCTTTTCAATTATTTCTTTAGCTATTGTACATGCAAAATCCATAAAGTTCATCCCCTCTAATAATTCTTTTATACAATTATCTATGTCCCTATACATTCATGTATATAAATCAGTTTCAGATGACATATGTACATAATCTGTGATTTAATTTACTTTTTTTTTTTAATTCAAATATGATAAATGCTATTTTTTAGAAATAAATCTTTAACATGATTTCTATCTATCTAACTTCATTAATATTCTTTTATATATGGGAAGATTCCCGTAACTGAAAATGGAGAGTCTTTTCTCTCTCCTCCTTATCTACAATCTAGTATTTATATAATTTTTTTATTGCCAATTAGGCATAACTGCAAATAAGTTCTGGAATTAGTAATTTTACAATTATTTAGCCATCACTATAGTATATATGTAAATGAGCCAAATTAATTTTAACAATCTCACCACTCTTGCACTCCATAATGAAGTTGGGCGGACAGGGGCCTACGGTTTTGCCGAAAATTGCTGGAATAGTAAATGGGGCTATGATGTATATTATACTGGGGGTAGGCTATTTTTGAATTTATTGAATTTGGGCCGAGCTAAAGTATAAAAACCCAAAATATGGCATGTAGGGTGTATAAACCCACTTGGGATGTAGCCCAGTAGTCTTGGCAATAAATCCGCCACTGTTCGTGCAGTAAATCCATTAAGGGAGCTTTTCAGTTTTTCTTTTGTTTGTGGGAGCGTTGTCTAATTTTTTCTAGTTTATATTTTAGGCGATCTTCAGATATATTCTCTCATTTTTTTTATTTTTTTTTTTTGTACAAAGGAAGGAGGCAAAAGCCTAAAACCGCTAGACAGTTATACACCGCAGGTACGCAATGCCAACAAAGTCATGCTGTAGCCACGGTTTAATTGCGGACGGTGGATCTGGGAGCCGTTGATAACCGCTCGGATATCGGTGAGCTAGAGTCGCCAAACAGTCGGCCGCAAAATTGACTTCCCTATAACAATGAGTCACACTTACCACCCAATCTCGACCAATGAGCTCCCTTATTGCTCGAACCAGGCTGCCATGGATGCCTAGGTTGTCCATCGAACTCCCCGTCGCCATAGACACCACACTCATACTATCAACTTCCACGAGGACCTTACGATAGCCCAACTCCCAAGCTAACAATAAACCGTGAAAAAGGCCTCATAACTCCACTCCGGTGATGCAGCAATACCCAATATTCATCACAAACCCTCCAAGTAGGGGTGAGCGTGGGTCGATACGGTTCGGAGATTGATAAATCTCCGGAACCGTACCAAAGTTCGGAGATCCCAAAAATTGATCTCCAGAACCGTACTAAAAAGTCGGTTCGGTTCGGTTCGGTTGAGAGATTTTTATTTTTCGGTTCGGTTCGGTTCGGCATTCGGGGATATTGGGACGGTTCGGTTCGGTATGGTTTGGTTCGGATCTTCAGAGATTTTTTATTTTTTTAGATTATTTTTGAATGACTACCTAGTTATATTTTAATTTTTATATGCTTTGAAAAACAACATTCATCAATAATTCATCATATTGAAGATTTTATTTTGAAACCAATCTTAGAAGTAACTCTAAATTTTAGTTATTTAAAATTTTATATGCTTTAATAAAACCAACATTCATCAATACTTCCTCATATTAAAAAACTTATTCTGAAATCAACTTTATAAGTAACTCTAAGTTTTAGTTAAGACTAAATTTGTGCAACTAATATTCAAAATTTAAAATTCAAAAAAAATATAATATTTTTTCTAAAAAAAAAATCTTTAACCTTTCATATTATTTTAGATAATTATATTATAATAGGAAAATTAAATTGTAAATCAAGTATTACTAAGCATGAAAGTTAAGTGAATGTTAATAGTTATTGGTACTATATTATATAGGATTAAAGGTGACATAAAATATACTAATAACACATCTAATGTTATAATTCGGTTCTTCGGTTCGGTACGGTACGGGACGGTTCTCGGTACGGATATTTGTGAAATCTCCAAAACCGTACCAATTATTTTTTTGGTTCGGTTCGGTTCGGAGAAAGTCAAACGGTCAACGGTTATTTTTCGGTTCGAAGTGATTTCGGTTCGGTTTTCGGAACGGTTCGGAATTCTCCGAGTCCCATGCTCAGCCCTACCTCCAAGCCAACGTCCATCGGCATCGCGAGCCAATCCTCCAGCAGACGCCATCCCACTCGAAGTCAAAAGTGAGCCATCCGTGTTGATTTTGATAGTTCCCATTGCAGGAGCAGTCCATCGTATGAGGTGGACTCCCCGACCCGCGCCGAAGCCGCCAAGATGGTGCTCAATAGATCTTGTGAGTTGGATCCCATGAACAAAGGACAGAACATCCCGAATTTTATTGGATACGATGAACTCCATGTCTGATAAAATCTTGTCATTTCTTCCTTTCCATATCTGCCAAACCGTGACACCAAAAATCGTCTCCCACGCAACGACGCTAATGGAGAGCCCATTTTGTAGGTTCTGAACTATCCAATCTCGTAATGGCATCGAGAAAAACGCAGAGTGGTTCTTAGTAGGGATCAAGGTCATCCAAATTTGCTTGGCGCCCACACAGTCACGAAGGCAATGTAACGTTGATTCCGGAAATTGCTCACATAAGGGACATAAGGTTGAACGTGTAATGTGCCGTCGGTGTCTTTCCACGTTCGTTAACAGCTTCTCTTGGGCAGCAAGCCAGAGAAATTGCCGAACCCTCTGCGGTCCAGTCCATTTCCAGATTGCTCTCCATCCGGCCCGATCTCTTGTCGGAGAGTAAGGGAGCAGGGACGCGTAAGCAGATTTGGTAGTGAAGAGTCCATTCTCCGAGAAACCCCAATACATCGTGTCAGGCCCGGCCATCCCCGACGGCGGCAAAGTAGCAGCGAGACGAAGCAAAGAGCTGGCCGACACGAGGTGGCCAAAGAGATTCCATTTCCAGCGACCCGCTTCATCGACATAATCACACACCTTCCACTCGAGTTGGTGTTCGGGAATCGGGCCTAGCGCGTCACAAAGTAGCAGGCGCGGGCTGTGGGTCCAAATGTCTCGCCAAAACCGAGCTGTTGTGCCATCTCCGATCGACCACCGAACCCCACGCACCACAAGCGGCCATACATTGCTGACGGCACGGAGAATAGCCGATCCTTTGGGAAATTCAAAGTTCGCGTCCATGAAGGCTGGGGTCAACCTATATTTTTCTACAAGTAGCCGAACCTACAAAGCCTGGGGTTTGGTCAAAATGGCCCAACCCAACTTCATTAGTAATGCCGTGTTCATCTCCCGTTGTCTTTGAGTCCAAGACCACCGAAGTCTTTAGGTTGGCAAAGTGTGTCCCAAGAGACGAGATGGACCTTCCTGCTTGAGTTAGTGTCCTCTCATTTTTATTCGACTTTCTAGCTTACTCATTTAGCTGGTGATTGTTTTCTAATTTGTAGTTTGTTTACTTATAAAATCTATTGTCTGATTAAATATAAATGAATAACTTTATTTTATAATTGTGCTATTGAGATTTATACACAAATTGCACCATTTTTTTTGGATCCCCCCATTTTAGACGGACTATATGAAACATCCGCACCGAAAATCGAACACACAAGGCGTCTAAACATAGAGAAGAAAAAAACAGTAACTCGGGTAGAAGCATATATATATATCGATAAGGTCAATATGAGAGACAATAAACTCGAATGTCGCAGATTTTAGCATACTAAGACTTGTCATGGGCACAATGCCAACATTATCCTCCCCAATCCTATTCATACCCTTGTCAAACACAGAAATTTGAAAGAAAGA